AAAAGTAATGAAAAACGACCAGAAATAAAAAGAATTACTAAATTGAGTCTCAACTCTCACGTACTCATTTCTATACATAAGGACGAAATTGGAACATTCTTGTTGCAAAATATAAATGACTTTTTGTTATTTTCTGTAAATACACGGGACGAAAATAAAAATACAATTTGAAGAAAGACGAAAATATTAGGGTAGTGAAACCATGAACACCACCATGATTTTCCAGAAACTTGGCCACGTCTTATCCACAATCCATAACTCCCAAACTATCACTGATTCACAATCTTTTCTCACTTTCCAATCCACAGAGAAACACATAAAAGTTGTAGAAAACATTATAGAAATAAAACAGAATAAAGAAAATGTCCGTGGTGACGTCACCTTCATTCCAGCGCATCAGACTCCCAAACCCTTCATCTCCATCGCCATCATCGTATTCTGCTTATTCACCATCTTCTTCTTCTTCCTTCAAGTTCACCATCAGGAGCTCTCAGGCTGAGGGTCCTCTAAGACGACCGGCGGCTCCGGCTCCCGTAAAGCCCGTGCCGCCATCCCCATCACCGCCTGATTCTCCGCCGGCCGCCTCTCCGCCTCCCAAGCCCGCGGCGGCGGCTGCTGTGGGGGACAAGAGTGCGATCACGCTGGAGTTCCAGAGGCAGAAAGCCAAAGAGCTTCAAGAGTATTTCAAGCAGAAGAAGCTCGAGGAAGCTGATCAGAGCCCATTTTTCGGTTTCATAGGTAAAAATGAGATCTCTAATGGAAGGTAATTTAGGACTTCAATTATGAATTCCCCCTTTACTACGCGTGCTTAATCTGATTAGGGTTAGGTTCTTCATTTTATTCTTTTGACATCTGGATTAATTTAAGTGTCTGATTTTGTTCTTTGTTGAGATTAGACACTATGATTTTAGTCTTTGTTCTGTAAAGATTCGAATTTGTTCGTTGATGCTATGATTTTTTTGGGAGTGATTGCCTACGTTTTTTTCCTTGTAAGCTGAAATGTTGAAGTATGTAAATAAAACTACTAAGGATGAGCTCAAAGATAGAGTAAATTTTTTGTGCAATGTAAGGGTTGCAGCTCGTTCGAATCTTATTTCCTTGAATCGAGAACCCGTAGAGTAACAATCTTT